CGCGGGAAGCCTGCTTCTCCCTCTCCCACTCCCCCTGCTTGTGTTCCCTCTCTCGCTGTGTCTCTCTCTGTCAAATAAATAAATAAAATTAAAAAAAAAAAAAGATTATCCATTGCAGCACCATTTATAATAGCAAAAGATTGGAAACAGCCTAAAGTTCATAAATAGGAGAATAATCAAATTATGGCCTTTCCGTGCAACAGGGGAATCCTTTACAGACGGTTAAAAAGGAAGCAGCTCTACAGCTATGGGTATGAATCAATGTCCAGGACATTTCAGTGAAGAAAAGCAAAGGACAGAACAGTGTGTATAGATCGCCCTTTATGGGAAGATAAGAAACATACAAGTGTTCGTATGTGCACAGGATATCTCTGAAGATTATATAAGGAACTGGTAACAGTGGTTGCTTCTAGGGAGGGAAACAGGGTAGTTAAAGGATAGGAGTAGAAGGCAGGCTTATTACTGATTATATTTTATTTACTTCTTGAATTTTGTCTCTTGTCCTGTATCTATCTATCTATCTATCTATCTATCTATCTATCTATCTATCTTTTATTTTTTTAAAAGGTTGGCCAGTTTGATACTTGAAAATTATACTCATTCTCATTTTAATGTTTCTTTCTTTGGTTATGAGTCTTATTCTTTCCCCTTATCTGCTCTGTGTCTAAGAGAAGATACTTAGCTCCTTTGATCCACAGTCGATTTGAGAGGTGACTGGAATGCTCCCCCTCCAACTCAGAGGATCCCACTGTCGCGAGGGGGGATGCAGACTACAGCCACTGGTGCTGAAGCCGGGAGACTAGTGTTCCCATCCTTGTCCTGCTGCTGGTTCCCAGCACGTGCCTGGGGAAGCTGTGAAACCAGGGAAGCAGTCGGTGACGGTGGGTCATGTCCAGTTCTAACATGCTGGGGTTCTGTCCTGTTTTATTCTCCTTCAATTCTCCAGTGGCAGGACCTCCACCTGAAGGAGAACGTCCCTCCTTCTCTGTTGCTTCTGTCACGAACCTTCTACCTGATAGATGTGAAGCCAAAGCCGATTGAGATACCACTAAGCGGGGAGGTGAGTGCCTGGGATCTGGATTTCCTTAACTGGGGCCTCTCCACAAATGTCTTATTTCCTCTTGCAGTTAAGGTAGACATTTCTTTTGGAATATCTTTTGGCATTTGGTCCAGTGGGCTTTAAAATCTTTAAAAAATTCCATAAAAAAATTAAAATTGCTAAAACTAACTCTAGCTATAGAGCTCTTACTGTCTTTGTTCCAGCTTGATTTAGGAATCCAGTTTATTCTTTCTCCTTAACTATCTAGTCTTCATTAGCAGACTCTTGCTCTTCTGAAACTGAATGGTTCCTCTTCTTTCATGTCTATTTCATTTGTCCAGATTCCTATTAATTTTGAAGCAGTGAAAGGCCAATCTAGAATGTAAACTTTTTGTCTTCCTTCCACTCATTTCCTTAATCATTTTTTGTTGCCTTTAATTCAACAGCTGTTTTTCCCCCCCTCCTGGCATTTTACCAAAAAGCTCAGGATTAGCCCAATCACTAGAGCATCTTGCTCTGGCAGAAGGGGCCTCTCACCTCTCTACTTTGTGGCTTCATGTCTAAGTCAGAATCTGTATGAATGAGAAAGGAGAGACCATTGTGGAAGATGCTGCACATGTGGTTTAGTAGATGAAACTAAGTTCTCTGAAGTGGGGACCCATCATTTTTAATTTAGTTATGCTAGTGATTCCTTGGACAAGCCAAAGGAAATGATATGAAGTCCAGCATGACAAATGTACTCCAGGGAACACCCTCGTGCTTTGCCTTTCCATATTTCCAGAGACTAATCAGATTTGGGCTTTGTCTGGGAAGGATTTGAGGGAGAGTGGGAGCAATTTTGGAACCCAGACCATCTTCTAAAAGGCAGCCTACCTGGTTCTTACTCTATCTTTGGTCTTTAAGACAGACCAAATTTGTCATTCTTAGACTGTTCTCAGGAGCAAGGAAATCTTGGAATAGCACAATATCTCAGAGCTAATTTTGTGTTCTCAGAATTATTCTAGAGGGGCATAAACACTTCAGCCAGATGTTGCTTTTTGGAATGTTTGAGAAAGACCTAGAAATTAAGGACAAAATGACAAGCTCCTAGGCATTTTATTGGTTGTTTTTTTTTTTAAACCACATTTTTAAACTTCTGTTTTCCATATATACAAAATGAGAATAAGTAGCATGCTAGGTTCAGTAAAGAATTTAGAGACGTCAAGTTAAATATACTTTAATTTTGGATATATGTAGCTCTTTTCCCTCCCAAGTACACAAAGCAATTACTTATTTTCAAAGAGCAGTGACATATTTACTTTTTAACTCTAATTATAATTCTTGAAGATAGGTTAGCTAGCTATTCTCAAAATACCATGTCTTCCATTTTCCTCATGTTGCAGGAGCTTCTATTAAGCAGCACGTACCATTTTAATAAATCAGAAAAACTTATCATTTATTATTAGACACCGAAAATGATAAAGATGTCAATTTTGAGTAAGTTATATCAATGCTGTTAGAAGCTGATGAGTAATTGAGAAAAGGCAACCTTCTTTTGTCAGACTGAAAACAGGACTAGAATTGGCAAATCAGGAGCTTGTTAATGGCTGAGGACTTTTTTTTTAAATTTATTTTTTAAGTAATCTCTACACCCAACACTGGACTCGAACTCACAACCCTGAGACCAAGAGTTGCATGCTCCACCGACTGAGCTAGCCAAGCGCCCAGACCGAGGAGTTTTAATACTAGAATCTCATTAGAGTGCAACTTTTGTATGTAGGGAGCTCAAAACTCCAAGATAAATAATACTAAGTTGTTCCTTCAGGGACATATTTCATACGTTCTCCTATAGGGCATAGTTGGAAGAAATTAGGGATTTAGTGAGTGGAAAGCAAGTTGTGCTAGAAAGCATTAACTACTGTAAAAATGCTTTCGAGTTTCAGGAATAGCAGAAAGCTGATGTTCTTATAAAATACTTCTCTTCCTAGTCTCCAAAACCAGATATTCCTGTGGAATCACCTACTTCTCCTGAATCTAAAGAGACGCTGGTGGATTTAGCACCTTCACTGAAGGGAACTAAGGTTAGACTATTACTTTTCATTTGATTAATTAGGTTTAAAAATGAAAATAAGTTAATTTATCCATTTTTACCTCTCTTAGTGAAACTGAATTTCAATACAATGGTGTTCTTTAATCAGGACTATTTATTGTACTATCAGATCTGTTTCTTAAAAAGGTCAACATTTGGCTCTATGTAATTAGGTTCCAGATTTAGCCTCTTGAACCTGTGCGGGAAGATGTGGTTGTTTCACGCTCCTGGTGGTCACGGCAGTGTGACTATAGATCGAATACCCATTTTGTTTTAAATCAGTAACCCAACTCTCAGTTCTGCTGTTCAAGGATGAAGAATTTATACAGCTGCCGCCCGTTCCCTCATCCCCCACAACACCATCAACGCCTATCCCATTACCTAAAGGACCCATCACTTCTGCTAAAGAAGCTGTAAGTATCTGAAAAAAGAACACATTTTGTCTCTAGTTATTTTTAAGGGCAGTGAGAATCTAGAGTTGTTACTATTGCAAAACACCTCATGCTTCTTCCTGTTATCCAAACAGGAAGTTGTAGGCTGAACTTTCGTCGTTTTATAACCACTACATTTTAAAAACTCAATTATCCAAAAGCAAAAACCACCCCCCCAAAAAAAACCCCAACTTATCAACCAATGCAGTTGTGGATGAGGCCTAAACATGTGAAGTCTAGAAGCTAATTACAATATAGGCAGATTCTTATTTTCTTTTGTGCCAGATGGAAATAGTCCCCATATGTTGTGTATTTCACACAGGCTTCAAATGTCAGGAAATACTAGCAGGAAAGCAATTTAAATCTTAGGAGAAATGTATGTAAATAAGAAATTACTTATCTATCTGCTTTTCCCGTTTGGATGAAAGAATTTGGGGCGGGGGGGTCATGGGAGAGTTCGACCAGCTCTACTGGCCTCCGAGGGCCGAGGAAGAGAGCCGGCCAACACGCAGACGCCCTGGGGTGGACACCCAGGGTCCTTGCTGGCAGGTCGTCTTAATTTTTATTATCGAGGTGAGTTGCATACTTGGATTTGACTTTGTGGTCTGTCATTATTTGATTAAGAAAATAGAAAAGGGACTCCTGAGGAGCTTCCACATCTCACTGCGGGCAGTGCCTAAAGTCCTTACGTTTTGTACCCAGACGCTCCAGGCCAAATCACAAAAGACAACACAGAACAGCAAGGCGAGTTCAAAAGGAGCATAAGGACCAGCGGAGGATGAAGCTCACTGTCGTCAGCTCCTGCCCGCAGTGGTGGCATCCATATAGGACCGCCCAGCTGAGACGCTCTGTGTCTGGTTTAAGCAGAGGATCAGCCATGTCGTCCTTGGGGTAGGCCTTTGAGGCCTTGTACCTGTTCCAGATGATGTCAGCAGTGAGACCAAGTTCAGACCATTTAGAAATATAATTGCAAAGCCAACTTCCTCTGTACCATGATGGCATCCCACTAAACTGTGTGTAAAGCCCCCTCCCCATGTTATTTTTGAACAGCTTCGTATTCCTGTGCATGTCCTTTAAGGGAGGAATTTTTTTTTTTTTTCTTTTCATAATGGAATCAGCCTGGCACCTTAGATTCCTCGAGTAAGGACTTGGAAACTCCAAAACCATTGTGAGAACACCTAACTTTTTCAGGAATCCATCAGTAGGAATAGTGCCCTGGAAGCAAAGCACCTTAATGGGATGGAATGGAGGTACTCCCCAGTAAGGCCTTTCTGGATCTGAAGAAGAAAAAGCTTTGTGGAGAAGAAAACGGGGAGCTCGGCAGACTGGCGATCAGCAAGGCCTGGCTGGTGCTTGGCTGTTGGGAGGCCCCCCGCCTTGGGGCCTGCGGGGGCTGCAGGATCTGGGAGGTTGCCACTACTCCAGGATGCGGGGCTTTCGTTAGCCACCATTTTTCCAGGAAACATAATTCAGGGTTTAAGACTTAACCATTTGTCTGTGCTGGGTGTATGTTTTCCTGGTCTGTTTGTCTTTCACCAACAAGACCATTTGTTAGTCATCGGGGTGGTTAAAGTCTGATATAATCCCTTTTGCGACCAAGTAATGAGTATTATGTTCAGATCCTTATGTTCGGTGTTTTCAGGATGGTCAGTCCTGAGAAAACTTAACATAATACCTTGCCATGCAGCTGACCAACAGCTCTCTTCCCTCGGGCAGTGCTTAGAAAGAAGATATTTTGGCTTGTGGGTGATGAAATTGGTCTTCTCTGCTCGCTGTAAATTGAAAGCAGTTAGAGCGGAGTCATTTAAGCCAAGCGCAACCCCAGTCTCCCTCTCTGGGGTCACCCAAGGGAGGACTGTCGTTGGCACTTCCCAGCAAGGATCTGTATTTGACAATGTTTTTTAGGCCTCCTCTCCACCTTGAGGAAAAGCCTGACTGTGGCCTGCTAACGAACTCCAGTTCCTCGAGAATGATGAATCCCTACTATGCAGCGTTCGGTGGATCTCGCCATTGGCCTAGCAAGGTGATTCACAATAAATTCTCCCATTTTTAAAATGATGGGTGTTTATTTTAATTAGCTCACATTTCAAGTGTTGAATGTGGGCAAGGGCTTAGCTGCTTAACTTGTTCAATCCTGTTTTAGCTGAGTGATTCATAAGTACTACTGGGCTGTTCTACAGTTCTTTCTGGCTTTCCCTACAAGGCGGAGTGGGAATGCTTAGGGCAAGGGGCCCCTGGTCACTTCTGGCCCCAGCTGGCCCTCACCCACTTTTTTCTACATCTAGGCATCTGAGACACTGGACATACCCTTCTTCCCATTCTTAGGACAGTAGCTCAGAGAAGTCTAGGATGTTTCTTTGGTCTCATCACCTAGAGCTCTTGGCTGTTGGGCTCTGTAGGATTGTTACATCTAGGCCCGCGCTGAAACCGAGCTAGTGTGTTCTGGTAAACGGTTAACCGACTCTGGGTGGGGGACAGGAAGTGCCCTGATTGGTAGCATTTGACTTCAAGCTGCCAACAGGAGGTCACTGAAGAGTCAGGAAGAGGTGTGCACCATCAGCTCCAGCACACCACGGACCCCAGCCCTCCGTGAGTAACAAGAGACGAGGCGATCGTTGGCAGCATGTCCATTAAATGTCACTTTTACACTCCAACACAAACACCTGGGAGGCGGTGTCATATACGTGGCCCTGAATGCTCTTAGGTGCCGGGCTGGAGAGAACTTGCCCCGGACTGACTCTTCCTGAACAGCTGGGTTCTTGCTGACCTTCTGTCTCCCCGGCTCTCCCCAGTGGAGCAGTGGGGTGGGGGGCTAGGCTAGCTTGCTACAGAGCTTTCTCCTGCCTTGCAGATGCCTAGGCCCTCGCTGTGCCAACTGCTCATCTCCTCACTGGGTGTGGTTCTAGGCAGCTTCTAAAATCAGGCCTCGGTGGTGATGTCAGATTTGGCCTGCATCTCACACATAAGTTTTGCTACAACACGGAGGTGTTGGTGGTGCTTGGTATTTATGGACCCCACGCCTGTGCCACGTCTAATTCTGTACTTGTCATTACAATACCAGTCACATTGGTGACATCAAATAAATACACTGTAATGCTAAAGATTTCCCAGTCACCACCAGTTAGTTCACAGTAGGTGAGGTCAGACTAATGGAGCTCCTAAGGAGATTGGCGCATCATCCCCGCCCCCGCCGACGTTGACGGAGACCTTGGCCTGCTGTCGCCCCCCAGTGGCGGCTGACAGGCACAGCGGCTTCGCTGTCCTGGAGACCGATTTCTTGCTTCGTCTGAGGTTCAATCTTTCTTACTTGAGGATCAGTACAGTACATTAGTGGTGCCAAGGGACTGATGATCCCCAGTCTATGGCAATTAGAAAAAGGTGGAAAGGCAGTATTGATTAATGGTGTGATGATCCCAGGCCCTAATCTTTTAACCCTCCGAAACCAGACAGATTCAGTGCCTTGACAGCACGACATCTTCATTAGATAAACTGGATTCCTTTCCTCAGGAGACCCAATCTGGTTATCTAAGTAAAATGGCCATTTCATTTTCCCTCAGGTCAATTTTACTATCTTTTATTTGACAGCCAGCTCAGTCTCTGGGGAAATTTGTGGGCGATTGGAGTAGTAACAGCAAGGACATCACAGTTATGGTAACAGTGCCTTGTAGTTCTCCAGCACCTTTACCGAAGGCATGTTAAAAGCCCCTTATAGATCCTCCATCCACTCACACAACATTGTTTCAAGGGAGGGCTGAGGCGGAAGTGATCATCAGTATTTTACAAGGAAAGACACCACTCTACGGTCTCAAACCAAATGATTTTAAGAGCAGAAATTCATCTCCTGGCTCTGTTCACCAAATTACGCCTTCTTTAAACACAAACACAAACTGTAATATGTTGACAGACGCATATTTACAGAGAGACACAAGGATAAGAGAGAAGTTTACAACAGCGGCCAACACTGCAACTGCCCCCCAAATAGCTAGCTCAGAAAGGAAACTTAAAGCAGCAATCCCGTTTGCCCTGCAGAAATGAAAGCGAATCCGACTTTCTTCTGTATTTCGCAGTAATCCCGCAAAGAGTAAGCTTTTGGGGGGGGCGGAGTACTCGCAATTTCAGGGCTGAGGTTCTGAGGAGGAGGGATCCACGTGTTGAGTGCAGTGATCACCAGCAGGTGGCAGAGAAAGAAAATTTCCAAGCAGCCAAACACCAAACATTCAGAGAATTTTTCCCCTTTCCTGGGGGATGGAGTGGAGTTTGTCCTGGAAGAACTATAGGAAGCCAAGATCTGCGAGAGTTCTAGCAAATGAAGTCTGGTCACAGACACAGGAAAAATGGTGGGGTGGGATGGGGGGGTGGGAGAAGCATGACCAGAGTAAGCTGGGAGACATGAAGCAAGGGGCCCGAATGTCAAACTGATCTGAGGTGACAAGTTTTCCTTCACATAGAAGTACAGACAAAACCGCACCCACATGAAGGGGGAGTTGGGTATCTGGGTTTGAGTTTCTGCAGGCCCTGGGTCCCGTAATCCGTAGCTTTCCTCTTAAATCCCTCTAGCTCTACCCCTTGGCTATTCCCAGGTAGGCCCCCAGCCCCCCTTCTGACCCTCCCACCCCACCCAACCCCACCAGTTTCCGCTGAGGAAACAATCTGTGGTTGAGGGTGGCGGAGCCTTGGCTCGGGGCCCAGAGCCTCGGGTGCACTGAGGTTCCTGCCCACCACACACGGTCATCTCTTCCTGCCTTTCCAAAAAGCATCGGAGCGGTAGGAGGTTTGTCCCGGAGGAGGTCCCGGTGCAAGACCTGAGGGGAAGCAGTTGTGAGGGAAGTGCAGGCAGCTGGGGCGCCCTCGGGACAGACACAGCCCCAGGGCCCACGAGGCTCACTCCTTTCCAGCTGACATTCTCTCCCTTGTCCCCTGTCACACAGCCCATATAAAAATGAAGCAGCAGCAATTTTTATTGAGGGACCTAAACTGAAAATAGGTTTAGAACATAATTTAAAAAAATAAAACAGCAAAAGTAGCAAAAAATATATGACCTTTTTAAAAACATTTTCCTTTTTTTTTTCTTTTTTCTTTGTTTTTAATATATAGCAACTGATGCCTCCCAGCCACCAGGAGCATCTTACCCAGTGGGTTAATCTCTGGTAACGACCCTTTTAAAAAGACATGTAAATATATACTCAGATTTATACACTTTGTGTTTTCTTCATAGCTATGTACAAAGCCCCCAGTTTGGGGCTGAGCCCCAGGGCCACGACTCTGCTCCCAGCCTTTGCCTCCCCAGCCTCTGGTACCAGGTATTTGGTCAGCAAAGCAAATTAGTATCGGAATTAATAAGCCACTGGCACCATCTATCTGGGGCAGAGGCTGCCCTCAGCCAAGGCCCAGAGCACTCGACCTCCCCCGGCTACGGCTGCAGCCCTGAGGACGAGGCCCCCGCCCCCAGAGCTCAGGCTTAGGGGTCCGCGAAGCAGACAAAACCAACACAGGAAAGCTCGGTCAGCTCTCGCCCGCATGCCTGCTCATCTCCCACTCCCCAGCCCTCCAGGCACTGCTCTGAAGTGGCAAGTGGCGGGGAGGGGTCTTGGTCCAACAAGGGGGAGGGGACGAAGTGGCCATGAGCAAGTACCTGCCTCTCTGCTCCTCTCTCACACAAGCAGGTTGTGAGGAGGAGGAGGAGGAAGAGAGGTGAACTCCGTGGGGTAAAGGCCTCAGGTAGGCAGCTAGCTCCTGCCGGCACGAAAGGGGCAAAGGGGCAGGCAGTGAGTCCCGCAGGGAGGGTTGGGGGGTGAGGGACACAGCGGATGATGGAGTCTGGGCAGGGGGGTGGGGGTGCTAGTCAGCGTCGTTTGAGTCCGCCATTGGCAAGCTGGGCTGGGTGTCGGGGCAGACAGGGCTCCTCGGGCAACGGCTCATGAGAGAAGACCGAATCCTCCCCCGAGGAGCAGGTTGAGCTTCGGGTGTCGGGAAAGCTCGGAGAGTACTGGTCCAGGGGCACGGACAGGTCCAGGTACTCCTGTGCAAGGAGAGACAAGCGGTCCGGCATTCTCCGCCCCGCAGCAGCGCTCACTCACAGAGGTGCACCTCGCGGACGGCGACTGGAGGTCTGGGATAGGACAGCCTCACCTGGTTGGAGGTCAAGGCCACAATGCGGTCCAGGTCTTCCACCAGCTGCTTGAAGGTAGGTCTCTGAGAGGGTACTGCATGCCAGCAATCCCGCATCATCATGTATCTGGGAGAGGATTGTCGAGTCAGGGGAGGAAGGACCAGGCAGGGCTGCTTTATCAAGCTAACCCCCGTTCTCCTTCCGTTCTTCCCCCAGGGCCTGGCCCAGGACCTCAGGTGTCTTCCCATGCTTACAGCTCATTGGTGCAGTTACTGGGTTTGTCCATCCGATGACCCTCCTTCAGCAGCTTGAAAAGCTCCTCCACAGGCACGCCGGGATATGGGGAGCCTCCCAGGGTGAAGATTTCCCACAGGAGCACCCCAAAAGACCAGCTGTGGAGGAGCACAGAGCCACCGGGTCTTATGGGCACAGAGCCAGGCCAGCCTAGAGTCCTTTCCACCCCCTCCCCAGCATGTCATCCTGACCCCACCCTCCCCCAGCACAGAGGCTTACGGGGGAAAACAGGGGCTAGTGCTGGAGCTCACACTGGCCTTTCAACCTCTACCAAGTGAACAAAGGAGGGGGACACATCCAATGTTTTGTTTTGTTCTCTCCGAAAGGGAAGGAGACCCCCGTCGATCTCGAGGGACATGCAGGACTCTACTGTGCTGGAATTTTCTATTCCACGTATCCCTGGCAATTGCCTCTTTCAAACTCACACGTCGCTCTGGTGGGTGTAGATCCGGTCAAACAAGGCCTCGGGGGCCATCCACTTCACAGGCAGCCGGCCCTGTAAGCGGCACGAGGGAGATTGGGGGTAGCCCAGGCCCGGGCGATGGGGGGACAAGCGGGGGGCACACACAGGACTGGACATGGGGAGGACACATGCTCGGCTCGTCCCACCGCACCGTCTCTCAAGCAAGGCCAGCGGTGCTGGGTCCCAGCCCGGAGATGGAAGTGGGAGAAAGCCCAACGGAGTCCTGGGCAGAGGACCTGCGGCCGGTTCTGTCCCAGCACTTACGTTGGTTGTCTTTTTATAGTAGTCGATGTGGTGAATGTCCCGCGCGAGGCCGAAGTCTGCGATCTTCATCACGTTGTCCTCTGTCACCAGCACGTTCCTGGCGGCCAGGTCTCGGTGTATGCACTGTGCGCAGAGGAAACGGGACGCAGGTGAGGGGTGGCCCACCGTCAGCCTGCCCCGGGGCTGCTGCTCCAGCACTCGAGCCTCCTCCCGCCACACCACTACCCCTCGACCTTTCCAGACTGCTGCTACAAGGTCCCTCTCTGCCACTTCAAAGCCAGCCGTTCGAGCACCTCCAGCTCCAGGCCCCTGAATCACCGTAGCAAACCCTCTGTGTGGGGCTCCCTTGCCGCTCCTCCCAACTCATAGCTCTGGACCCGCACCCAGGAACACTGAACCTGGATGCTTCTGTCCAGTCGGGGGAGGTGGGTGCTCTCAAGCACTGGCCCCCAGCTGCAGCACATGCGCATCGGGCTGGGGCTCAAACGAAGCCTCTGTTTATCCGAGCACCAACACTGAACTTCACACCGTCACACGGGACTTCATCGTGCCCCATAACCAAGCCACAACATAGGGCTTATCATTCTTTCTTTGTATTTGGAGATCTAGAAGTAGCTGCCTGGGGCTACCCGGAGAGTGGCAATGCACAGTCTGAGCTGGCTTTCCGCACTCTGACGCCCCTGAGAGCCTGAGACAGCATGGGTAGGCGGTGCTCCAGACAATGCAAAGTTGTAAACCGGAGGACAAGGGAGGCTCTGTTCCCACCCCGACCTCACCCAGGGGAACCCTCAGGAGCCATACCTTCTTGGAGGCGAGATACTCCATGCCCCGAGCCACCTGATAGGCGCAGGACACCAGGTCCTTGGAGGAGAGTTGCTCCTCTGGGCTGTGGCTGGGGTTGTAACAGTACTCCAGCCCAGGAGGCCTCCGGGCCTGCAGGTACTCCCGTAGGTTGCCTTTGGAGGCGTACTCCACGATGACGTACAAAGGACCTGGGGGTGTGTGGACAGACAGGCCGTCGGTGGGCAGGCAGGTGCTCAGCTTCGCCCCCAGGAAGCCCCACCCCCAACCACACACCACAGGCCTAACTGCACCTTTAGGGAGCCTGGGAAATTCACTCCACTACCCCAAAAAAGCTAGGGAAAGGATTCTTCCCAGCATACTCCAGGAAGTTCCCGAGCAAACCTGGGGTTGGGGGGGAGCCCTAATTTAGGCCACAGTGACTCACCTGGTTCCACCCCCACACTATGTGTATGAATCTAGATACCTGTCTTCTCAGATGAACGCCAGACCCCGAGAAGTAACTCCAGCTACTGCTAAACTGGCCTCTCCTCTTAACCCCCTTCCCTAAGCGTCACTGAGATGCCTGGTCACTGTTACTATCTTCTCCCCGACAGACACTGTTATCCGAAGGGGAGGCCCAGGTTCTCGGCTGAGGCCCTATGCTGGCAGGGGCGGGAGAGCTGGACTAGCTTAGTGCCTACCGTCCTGTGTGCAGGCCCCCAGCAGGTTGATGATGTTCTTGTGCTTCCCGATCATCTTCATCATCTCCATTTCTGAGATCAGGTCTGACAGGTCTTTCTCTGTCGCGTCCGCTTTACACACAAACCGGGAGGGCATGAGACTCATTTACTTGGAAGGGAGGATGAGAGGAGGAAAGCGAAGGGAGTGGAGGATGCTCGAGGAAGCCCGGTTTTCGGGGACTTGCTTCTCTCTCCTCCCCATTTCACACCCGAATTGGTTTTCCCTTCCCCTTTATGAGAGCTGTTGGCAATGTGTGCTAGTGTGTGGGGTGGAGGACAGGATGGGAAAACCCAGCTAGCAATGGGATCTAGAATACACCTGCCCACAGCCCAGACTGATGCCAAGGAACTAAGGGAGAGCGTGGCCATCTCAGGGTTCAGAATGATGCCCCTCCACGCCCAGGAGATGCTACACAGGCCATGTGGCAGGTGTGGACCATGACAGGGCACCGGAGAGACTGGTGGCCCAAGGCCCACAGTCTGCTTGGACAACGGCGGGTTTGTTTTTGCAAGGACAGAAACATCACTTACCCTTCAACATCTTCACAGCCACTTTGGTCACACGGTTGGGTTTGTCCTTGTCCAGCCCAATGGCCTCCGCCAACACCACCTGCCCAAAGCAGCCCTCTCCCAGGGGTTTGCCTAAAACCAGCCTTTTGGGAAAAGAGAGGGTGGTGTGAGATGGGGCTGGTAAAATTTCAGCCTGGAAGGGCCATCCTGTCTCCACCTCTCCAAATTCCACCCAGCTGAGAGCAGAAAGTGTCAAACTGTTCTTTCTGGATGTATCTGGTACCCCTTCACTCCCAGCGGGGGACTTCCTCAGAAAGTTGAGAGTTAAAGTATTACCTGTCTCGAGGCAGCTCCCAGCGAGGGTCTTCAGGAAGCTCGTATTCAGAGACCCCGGCCAGCATGGGGGTTCCACTAGAGGAGAGACGTGAGGGCCGAACGAGCAGAACCCCAGAGTTCATGGATGCACTGGAATCCGCCGACACCTACAGGGAAGCGTGGGGTCACCCTTCTAGCGAGGATGGGGTGGGGGAGGGGGCTGGGGGACCGAGCCACAGAGGATTCCTGCAACTCCTCCTCAGGGCTTTCCGCCGATGGCAGAGGTGTGTATCTGTTATCTGATGTTCTTTCTCCAACACAGAGTGGCAGAAAGACCACAAGAGGTCTGAAGACCTAAGTTCGAAAACGGACTTATTTTTGCCGCCAGCTACCCTTTCCATTCATTTAACGGGAGCAGACCAAATCCCCCTCTTCCAGACTGACATTTTGTAACCTATCATTGCAATCACAACTCTATTGTTGTCCCCATTCTTTGTGAAAACCCTGCCTCAGATTATGCATTCCTTTTTTTTTTTTTTAAAGATTTTATTTATTTCAGAGAGAGAGCGAGTGAGAGCGAGCATGAGCAGCGGGGAGGGGCTGAGGGAGAAGCAGATCAGGACCTGTGTGGAAGGCAGACACTTAACCAACTGGAGCCACCCAGGTGCCCCAGATTATGGATTCCTAACTCCCAAAGCACCCTCCAGAATTAGCCCAGCTCCAAATGAACGTTCCCTCCTTTCACACGCCTTCACCCTCTGTTCCATTTCCTTGGATGAGAGGAGGGTGGCATCCTGGCACCTGACTCAGGTCCTCTTCTCTGCTCTGTATCTTTGTACCTCTAACTGACCCTCGGGGACCGTTCAAAAGTACAATATGAGTTGCACATTCAGCCTGGCTAGGGCTTTCTCCCGATCCACATGCCAGGTGAACAGGGGGCTGGCAGTTGGGGTATGGTGGGCATTCCAAATTCATGGGCTAGAACAGCCTGGAACCCAACTCTGGAGCACTTAGGACATTCTACTGCCCCTGGCCCAAAAGCTAGAAAGCAAAGCTGGAAGTGGTAGGCTGGGGACAGAGGAGAGGGCAGGGCATTTGAAGGTCCTGGCGGCGGCCCCGGGGACACAGGGAGAGGAGCTGATGCGGGGCGTGCAAATCCCCTATCTACTTTCTGTTACCTGTCTGCGCAGAGGGATGCTCTTGGCTAGCTTGTGCACGGCCATCTGGCTGTGGAAGTCGCTCTTCTTGGTACCACTCTTCATCTTGTAGATGATGACAGACCCCACCATGCAGGAAATGAGGAAGGCCCCCGTGCAATAGATGATGATCTCCAGGTACAGGGGCGAGGTCATCACTGCTGGCCTCTCTTCCAGGGCTGAGTCAGTGTGAACAGGGTGTTAGCAGGCTCTGGGGGCCCAGACCACTAGGGTCCCAGCTTCATAAGAAAAACAACCCCCATCTCCTTTCCTCTGAGAATTTTCAGGGCAGAGAAGAACCAAGCTGGGTCCCAGCTGGGACTAAGGTCTGTCACTGAGCAGATCAGATAGCATATGATCTCTGAATCTTCCCGATCCTGACTCGAATCCCCCAAGGGGGATGGATTAGAACTATCTTGCCACGTGAGGCCCATCCTCATTCATTCAGGAGCCCGCCTTGCTCAGCGGGACTGCTGGGATCCACGGGTACCAGGTACCCACAAGGGCTTTCTCCGTCTACTCATGGAAACCCGGCCCTTCTCAGCAGAGCCTTAGTCCTGCGTGTATCCACCTATCACATGGGACAGACGAACCACGTAAGCGTCTGTTGTCCCTGACAGCCCATGAACACCTTCTCCATTTCCACATGCCACAGCGCTGGGCAAACAGTGACACATCATGAGTTCAAGGCGGGGGGGGGGGACCCAGTCTGTGTCCTGGGTCATCGCCTTCTGCCTATGCTACCTATGTCAGGTCAGACACGTAAATATTTGTACCTAGCTAACTCCCCAGCAAAACCAGCTTCATTTCCCACCACATCTAGACTGCTTGAGAGGAGAACATCCACTTTGCCACACTTAGGAATCCTACTCAGGCCCTAACTCCTAAAACCGAACAAAGAAACTGGGGAGGGGGCACTGTTTTATTCTCTTCTCCCACCTTCTGTTTAGAATCCAGCCCGCTCCCGCAGAAGCCCACCCAGCTGAACCCACCCTTCGCTTGCACACGCGAGGCGGGGAAGCTTCCCCCCCGGAGTGAACGCCCCTCTACCTTGGATGGCATTCTTCCAAACACCAGCCGGCCACAGAGGCAGGCGTGCCGGGGACCTCCCCGGAGAGACACTATGTGTGACCCCAGATGGAGCCCAAAGGAACCCCTGGAGCCTGACAAGGAGGCAGCAGAGCTAAGAACAGGAGGAAGTGTTTCTGTTTTTCTCTCTCCCCAGTATGGACAAACAAAGACAACCAAGTGGGAGCACACACGGGACAAAGACAGTGATGGGGTAAAAACAGAACGCTTCTCTGCCTCAAGCAGGGGTGCCGTCAGACCCTGCTGGCCAGGCAGGGCAGAGGAAGAGAGAGGGAGGGAGAGGAGGGGGGTGTCAGCAGCGACAGGAATAGCACTGTGCCCAGACCCACGTGCAGGACACTCAAGAGGCAGCGAAGACCAGCCCACCACCTGAGCAGGCTGCAGGCTCCTTCCTTCCCAGCCCAACACACAGACCTCCCCTCTCGGGGGCCAAAGAGGATGCAAGGGCAGCACGGAGTGGCCTCCAGAGTCAGTGCTGACTTAATGCTCCAGTTCCCGCATCTGGGTGGAAGCTCTCCTCCGAGATCAGAGGATGGCAGGGTGGGCGGGCACTGTTCCTTACAAGCAACAAGCCCCTCTTTACAGAATGCCTACATCTGGTTAGAGGAGGCCTGGGCCTCTCTTGAGACCTCTGGAGCCAGCAAAAAAGGATCAGACAAGTCGGGGAAGGCTGCTGGACCCAAGGAGGGAAGGCGCCTGCCCTGCAGGAGAGCCCGGCTGCAGGTTAACTCCAGATTCCACGCATGCATTGCATTGGCCAAGGGGGAGAGCCAGATGCAGGTATATAGGTGGGAGGCCTCCGTGTTCCTGCAAAATGAGGACAGCTCCCATGAGAGCCGAGAGGATTCGACCCTCAAGCTTAGACAAATCGCCAGGGCCACCTGCTGGCCCCTGGAGCCCATTCCTCTACCTCTCCTGGCTCTGTGTCTCCCCCAGCCCCACAATGCATGCTCCCCCCGTGCCCGTGGCGAGGGCAGGACATCGAGAGGAGAAGTACAGTGTATACCTTCCAAAACGGTCAACCATGCAGAGTGATGGGAGAGTCCGATAGAGTTACCCGCCAAGCACGTATACTCCCCCGCGTCCTCAAAGGAGACATTCCTTAAGTGGAGCACTTCCATCTCTTTGTCGGTGGTATTAACTCCGGCAGTCTAGAAGAGACAACGGAAGCAAAATGGACAAGCACAGGACATGAGACCTCTAAGAGACACAGAGAAAGGGATGGAGGAAGAGAAGGGGGGAAAAACCGGAGGAAGGAATGCTCCGCAGCGTCTCCTTTGCAACAAGGAACACACAAAAACCACCAGGCAGCGAGACCTGTTAGAGGAAGACAGTGAGACCCTGAGGGAGGGGCTCCGCAGACCTGAGCCGCCGCTGGCTGGTTACGACCCTTCACCAGACGCTGGCAGCCCCTGGCCCGTCCAAGCATGCGGGCGGGCGGCGGGCAGCATGGAGAAATGCGGCCCGGCGGCGGGGGGCTGTTTGGTTTCAGGTAAAGTCAGAGGGCACACACAGGAGGGATGGATTGGTGCTGCGTCATGCGCGCACACGGCCTGCCGGTCTGCAAGGGGAACCCCGGCCCCTTCCCGTCTCCGCCACTCAGACTCAGTCTGCACTGTCGTTCAGCACGCGGCCGGTCGGTGGCCACAAGCGCACACACAGCCGAGGGGCACACACGAGGGACGGAGTTTGACACCGACACAGTACCGAACCAAAGCAGCCTCCCAGGCCGGGTATTTTTCCATGGCTCTGGGCTCTAGAAATACAGCAGGATAACAGGGAGAGTTGGGTGCTGGCTTCCCCATCTGCCCCAGCAGCGTGGGGCCTGAATCAAACTCCCAACACAGGGCCCCATCCAGCTCCCCATTACCTTTTGCCACAGGTCTGGTGACAGTGAGCCACGCAGACTGGTTAGCTTCACCAATATAATTGGAAACCTTACACACATACTCCCCGCTCTGGGCCTCTGTCACATTGAACAGGGTCAGCACCTCCGCATCCGAGCTATTAATCCCCGAATGCTAGAACAAACCAACGACAAGCCAGTCAGTGGGGCACACACTGAGACGTGGCCATACTTTGCTCCCACGTAACGTTAAGGCAGGCCCAGGGAGCTAAGGCAAGGGAGACATTAGTGAGACTTATCATCTTTCCCTTTTTAGGAGGACAAACCAAGTTGACTCCGAAGGCCCAAAGCATCTGACTGAAAAATAAACTTAAAAAGAAAATCGCTGCCCCCAGTCACACATTCTGTCTGTGTCAGGCCCACTCCTCCGGGTCTGGGGCAGGCATTGTGAAGGGAGCCGGCGGCCACGGGCCAAGGCCATGGCCTCATTTTCCAACACAGCGGTTTCAGCACCAGTAGCGAAGAGAAGGCGTGGCCAGTAAAACTCTGGGATGGCCAAGCCAGGGGAGGAGGAGGTCTAACTCTGGGACCAGGAGGTAAATCATGCTCCCAGCCTCTGGTTACTTCTTGTTGCAAGATCCACTGGGGGAATTAGGCAATTACCTTCCCCGGATTAGTGGAGCATTTGGGGACAATGAAAGTCTGGGAGTGAGAGGAAAAAGGAAGAGAAGGCCATTACTCCTGACGCTGTTTAGAATTTACCTGTGGCATCTGCTTTTCCAACTCTACCTAAGAGCCGTGCCCTTATCATTCACTCACTTGCCAGAAAGGACGTGACTTGGGAAATAGGGCAGAATCTGGCAAACGCTTGCTGGAAAGGCTTTGGTTCTGGGCAATGGAAAATCAGGAGTCCAAATGCCTTCCCTGAGTAGCTGACCCAAAAGCCTGAGCAAAGTCACTCTCAAGGCTTAGAAACCAGCAGTGGCCACCCCACCCTCCTCACTCCTGGCCTTCGGTTGCCACTGCACTGTCACTCTGTGACCTGTCACTAGCTCTGGGGAATGTGGCTAGGTCCCTATTTAAAACGGAGCAGGTGCCTGAAGGTAAGGGATGCATCCCCGTCACCAGCACCAAGCCTGACCATAGCAACTTGGGCCCAGGGAGATACGGGTCTCCTTCCCGGCACCCAGCCCACGGAGACTGGGGCCAAGATTACCTTCAAGATCTGGACATACGGCAGGTTGTCTGGACCAATCTTACTCCCATTCACCTCGATGTGCTTTAGCCACTGGATATGGGGCTGTGGGTCACTGTACACCTTACACATGAACTCCACATTGCTGCCCAGGGCCACGGTCTTGTTGGCAGGCAACCCTGCCTGCAGGATGGGCCGGTGAGGGGACCGCTCTGTGGAGGAAGAGAGAGGAGAGGCTCGTCAGGCCCCGCCATGGCCCGCTCCTGGCTGGGATGCTGACAGAGAGCGTCTCAAAGACCACCAAGGAGAAGTGTGCTCCCCCTTGGCTTCTCCACTGGGCAGGAGCATTTCCAGGCTCTGCTGAGCCTTAGCCCCTCGACTCTGAGCTGGGAGAGGGAAGAAGGTCCTAAACGATGAGGAACTCCCTCCGTGAGGCAATGCATCCATTTTCACAGGCACCAGAAGTCTCTCTTGCCTTAAATGGAGACCCCTAGAACTTCAGTCACACTCCCAGACCTCCCTAACGAAAATCACACAGAGTCGTTTAGACTTGCTACTCAAAGCGTGGTCCATGAGCACCAGCACCGGCAGCACCAGGAGCTCACTAGCAATGCCAATCTCTGGTCCTATCCGGCTGGCCCAGAAGCTTCTTTTTATACCATATCCTTAAAGCCAAGAAGAATGCTGGCTGTGCAACTCTTTACCTTAAGACCTCTAGAGAATGAGGTCAGAGCCTCCGAGAGGAAGAGGCTGCCGTAGCAGCACCGAGAGGCGTGCTGTGCTTTCTAGTGTTTCCTGCGACGCCCCGCAGTCAGCACGGGTCTGGAGTCTTGCACTAATGAGCCTCAGTCTGCTCTTCCGTAAAGTGGGAAGCCCAGCGCCGACCTCGCGGGGCCCGTGAGAACTGCCGGGCGTCAGGCGCCCAGCAGCAGCCACCAGATGCTCTATGTAACCCCCTCTCCCGTCACCCCTTGCAGGAGACTAGCCACAGCACCTTCCACCTTTCAGGAGTCACAGCAGCGTCCAATCCTCTCAACTAAATGCACAAACCAGGCACGAAACCAGCTTTAGGCGACAGAGTTGATAAACGCCCGCGCCGGCCTGGACCCTATGGCTGTTTTCTCAAAGCCCTGCTCTCTTTCCTCGAAGCTCCTTCGACCCCGTCGCTGGCGCCTTCTTACCCACAACGTCGAGCTGGTAGGTGTGGTTAATGCTGCCATATTCGTTCTCCACGATGCAGGTGTAGTTGCCCTTATCCGAAGGCACCACGGAATCCATTATGATGCTCCAGGTGGCATAACGGACCTGAGGGGAAACATGCCAGAGCGCTCCATTGCGGGTCTGGAGGAGAATGGAGGCAAGAAGCCGCATGGAGGCAGGGGTGCCTGGTGGCACTTACCCTCCAGTCCCAGCCCGGAGCGCACGGCCCCCGCGGCACAGCACATGAGCCAGGACAGGGCAGAGACCGCCTCCCCCCCCACCTCCGGTCCACGTGCACTGAAAGAACACATCAGGCAGACGGGCAGATGGGCATGAGGAACTCTGGACGTCTGCCTGCAACAGCCAGGGCCGTCTGCGATCTGACCTATGTGCCTCCTGCATTCTCCCGAATGCACCGGGAGCTTCCCACTCTGCGCCTCTGTTCGCATCCTGGGCTGGAAGGGCTCCCCGCCAAGAGTTCAGCCCGGTCTGCCCCCGACCTCTTCTTGCAAAAACCATCTCCTCCAGCCCAACCTCGGGTCAGAATGGTTCTCACTGTCCCTCTGTGCCCCTGCTGAAGCACTGATCAAAGCCTGCTTCTCGTGACAGTGTTCGAGGACGCCTGCGCTCCTGTCAGACTGGAAATTCTCTGTGGGCAGGAGCACTGCCTCGTACCACCCGTGGTAAGTGTTGGATAAATTAATTTAATATGTTTCCCTGTTTTTCCTCATCTCTGCTTTTCTGTTTAAAGATTTTATTTTTTTTTCTTTAAGCAATCTCTACAGCCAAAGTGGGGCTCGAACTTACAACCCCGTGATCAAGAGTCACACGTTCACCAAGTGAGCCGGCCACGCACCCCGATCTCTGCTTTCTCAGTACAAGATTAATGGGAGAAGAGCAGGGAGGTGAGATGGGATAGAAGGATGATCAGAGTCTAAAGAAGGGATTAAGGAGGAAGAAGTTCTTGCTAGAGTCGCAGATGAGCAAAGGACGCAAACAGACAATTCACACAGCAGGAAATGGAAATTGCTTATTAACATACGAAAATTTGAAGTCTGCTAACAAGCAGAACAATGCACAAGAGAAGAGTGAGGTACTTTTGTCATCGAAGTTGTTGGCTCAGGTATGGTAAGCCTGTCATTCTCATACTCTGCTATGGGAAGATGAATTAATTTTTTCTTTTGGAAGTAATTCTTACCACAATAAAATAAAAATAGGAAATAAAATCATACCCCAGCTCATTAAATCATTCCCCATTAAAGCAAATATCACAATAAATAATATAGCACATCTTCCTGATGTACTTGGAATGCTACTGCCCAGTACACTTTCTGGAAAGACATGGGTTCAAGAAACGTTCGTGTTAGAAAAAATAAACGAATGAGTAAAATTACCTAATGACCGGGGGAGAAAAAGGTAATGGGAAGTATGCACTAAGGGCTTAAAGAAATGCTTATACTTTGGTCTAGTAACTTCACTCTAAGCAACCTGTCCTGGGGAAGAACATTTAAAAACACTGACAAAGATTTATGTACAAAGATACTCACCACAATATAATGTAGAATAGTGAAAAACCAGAAAATGACAAATATCACAAAACAGGTCATTACATCATGAGACATTTTAATAATGAAATATTATGCAGTCATGAAAAATTATCTCTCAAACACATGGCAAAAGACTCATAATGTTAACAAGTGACAAGAAAGTATATATACAATGTGATTATATAAAAACCATATACATAAAAAAAAGACTGAAAATTTTTTTTATTTTGAGAGAGCGAGAGCAAGCGCGCGAGGTGAGAGGGGCAGAGGGAGAGGGAGAGTCTCAAGCAGGCTCCACGCCCAGTGTGGAGCCCGACGAGGAGCTCGGGGCTCGATCTCACGACTCTGCGATCATGACCTGAGTGGAGGCACATGCTTAACCGACTGAGCAACCCAGGCGCTCCAGGACTGAAGATTTTAAAGCTTCATTTGCAGTTTTTTGTATTTGAAATTTTTCTAAAGTACACTGCTTTTATAGTTAGAAAGCATTAAACAATTAATGACATATAATAAGGATTTTCCAAGGAGCTTCTCCCATTCCTCTTATACCGACTTTCATACACACACACATACACGTACCTTGTAGCCTCCAATCCTGTGGTCAGGTTTGAATTCTTTGCCATTTTTCAGCCAGCGCAGTGTGGGGTTGGGAGTCCCACTGGAAGGGCATTTGAACTTCACAGTCTTGGCAGCTGGCACTGCGTGCAATTTCTTTTCCATCTTTTCTGGGGATGTCCAGTATGGAGCCACGGCTGCCCAGGGAAAGCCAAGAGAGACAGGCAGGGGGCCAGTCAGGCTCAGGAGCAGGGGCCCAGGCCAGGACCTGGAGGTGCCCCGCCTGTCTGCTCAACACCTGTCAACAGTGCCGGCTCTAATCAGGGCACCCCAGGGACCCCGTGGCTAAACATCGGGACCCCATGTGCCCTCTCCGCCCCTTCTCCAAACAATCATCCCAGCCTCCCCCTTCCCACTCAAACCCAACGCCCGGCCCGAGGGCAGTAAGGTAGGAAACAGTGTCTCACGCATACGGTTTGGTTTGGTGTTATCTGTCTCTTTCTCCTCTGAAGAGGAGTCATCATCATCATCGTCGTCCTCCGAGGAGGGGAGAGCATCTATGGGAAGCAGAAAGGGGCACTGAGGTCCCTTCGAGGGAAAAGTGCTCACTAGATTTCCATCCATATCAACAGCCGGCCATGAACATAAAGGCCAGTCCAGTTACAGATGAATGCAGATGCCCGTCCCCATACTGGACCCCAGTCCCATTCTGCCCTTCGTGATGGTCTCTCTGTGGGACGGAAATGGTTTATTTAAGAACTGCAGGCTCTATGCCTGTCCCCCGCCTTCCCCATCCCAACGCGGTGCCCCTTTCTGTCCAGAAGCCTTGAGACTGGCCATTTCCATCAGGGGCAGTGGGTCCTCTTGAATTTAATTCCACCTTGCGTTCAGAGGTTCTCGCAACTCAGCACCACCCAGATGTGCTGGGTCTCAGGACCAGCAGCCAGGGAATCTGTGTGTATCCTTCTTCAGAAACCCAGACAGATATAGGCACACTACAGCCAGAAGCTATTTCTACACCATCTGGGAAAGAACGGGCTGAACAATTTCTAGTTGGGATTTTTCTACCATGCACGTGCAAAGGCTTGAAGGCTGCCCCTCATAACCAGAGCAGAGAGGGAGCCCACCACACTAGTCCGCAGTTGCTAACACCTCTCCGCAGGTATCCGCCCCTTTTAAAAGGCTTGACACACATGTGGTCACCAAGCAGCGGTCATGCGAGATCTTTTTCCAGTCCCTCCTAGTGCTTTTGGGGGTCTGGAGGGAAATAAAGGAGGCAAGTCCTGCAAGTGGGGGCAGGTTCTAAACGATACCTGGAGGAGAAGAGATGCCCAGCCCTCACCCTGGGCTTTCCACACACAGTGTAAAGAAAATTTCAGCTCTTCTTTGTTTTACCCTAGAGTTGTGTAAAAGTCGTGTTCTAAAAAGTGGCAGAGTCCCAAAGTCACAGAGCTCTGGGGTTCCCTGGCTGCCCTTAATACAGCTCCAGAAGGTGGAGGACAGATGTTTTCCACAAAGTCTGGGAATATGGTGGTGCACCTGGATCCTTTCCAATCACAGCAGGGACCCACCTCACCACATATTCCGGGGCTCTAACCCCCGAGCCAAGTACCAAGTCCAAATGGCAAGGGAATGACAGAATGGAAGCTGGCCCAGTCCCAGGCAGCACCTGGAGATCTGGGCAAGCTATGGTGGAAAAAGATCAGTGTCTTACTGACCCAAGCGCATGAGCAGTCACTTCTGAGGCTGATCCTGGAAACCCAGATCTCTGACCTGAGGCCCTCACCACCCCCAGTCACCCCTCTGAGAGCGAAGCCACGCGGCGGGCGCGGAGCAATGTTAGTGGGCAGCAGTTTCCGAAGCAGAGTGGGGGCGGGGCAACCCCGCCCCCGAAACTGGCAGAGAGGGTGGGAAAGCTGGATCTGGGGAGAGGGTGAGGGCAGGCTTGGCTACCAACCTGAGACGTTGACGGAGAAGTAGGTGGTGTCGCTGCCCGAGGGGCTGCTGGTCACGCAAGCGTAGAGGCCGGAGTCAGCAGGCACGGAGTCCCGCACCTCCACCTCCTCCCCTGTGATGCGGGTACGGTTGCTTTCCACCAGCTGCACCCCGTCCCGCAGCCAGTTGATGCTCTGGACATCGTCCCGCAGCCGACAGCGAAGCTGCAGCAGGTCACCAGGGTGGACCAGGAAGGACTCCACTTCCACAGGGGCTCCCCAGGGCTGGACTGCAGCCACCCATGGGGGAGGGGGGGAGGGGCCAAGGGACGGGGCAGGAAGAGGGGGAGAGGGAAGAGGGAGAGAGACAAAGGGAGTTAGGCTAGCGAGCCGCACTGAGCCGCGGCATCCCAGGGGCTACAGAGCCAGGAGGCGGAACTGGAATAGGGGTCAGTGGGAGACAGCTGGCTACCCGGAACCCTACCTCTTCTTCTCTACCCCGCTCCCCCCTAGGGCAAAAGAAGGAAGAGGCAAAGCCAGGAAGCAGCCACAGCAGCATTAAGCAGTTGACGTTTCATTTCCCTCCATCCAAGGGGAGGGGGGGAAGGCCAGCCACCCACCCCCGGGGCATCTTTGTGTCCAGACTGCCCCTCCCTGCACACTCGGTTCTTTGCCGAGAATGGCCACTTCCCAGGAGAACACCCCATTTCCTTTGGGCTAGGCCAGCCTCAACCCTTTCCCTAGTAACAGCTGAGCAAACCCTTTCCCTCAAAAATCTAGCAGCCCCCACCTAAGTAGAGAGAAGTTAATTTGTCAACAGGGGATCCTGGGGTCAAGTGATTCAGCAGGGAGGGGTCTGGCCCTGCAGTGAGTCAGATGTATAAGATGCATATGGGAGAGAGCCGGCCCAGGGAGAGGTCAGCTCAGGGGAACCTCTAGCTAACAGGTGTCGGGCCAGAGGATGCGGAGCTTTTGACTTTATTAGGAGCGGAGGCCGGCAGCTGCCACCAAGCCCACACTTGCTCTGGCCACAACAGCCCTTGCACACAAAGCTCCTTTCTCCTCGTCCCACTGCTGGGCTCCCCCTTCGAGCCCTCCGCCTCCCCCGCCCCCAACACACTGTCACACGCATTCACTCCCCCTCACCTCTCTTTCCCTGGATGCCGGGTGCTCCCCGGCTCACAGACCCGATGCGACCTGGTCACCCATCCATCCCTCTCACGACCAGCAACTGGGCACTGGCACTGACAAAGAAGGCCACCATCCCAGACGGTTCCCTGCTCTGAGCATCCCCTCTTTACCAGGGGGAAATGCAGCTTCTATTTCCATTCAGGATGCTCACGAGCGCTCCCTCCTGGTGTCGTCTGCCAACTGTCCATCCCCCACCAAAAAGTGCCCTTGTTTCGGCTTGTATCTACCCCCTGACTTAGGTCTCCACAGCCCTGGGAGCCTTCTTTCTTTCTCACCCCCCTCCCCCCACCCCGCAGTTAACCATCAGGGGCTCAGCCAGGACACCCTGCAGGTCCCCAAAGCAGGAATCTCTGAAACACACGCTCCCTCCAGTCCCCGCGCCCCACTACCCCCTTCAGGGCCTGTGTCTGCTGGCTTGCAGCTACCCTCCAGTTCTCTGCCTGGCTGGGGACTCTGCCCCAAAGCCTCTTCCAGCTCCCAGTCTGGGTTGGGTGCCCTCCCACTGCACCTGTCACACTGAAGGAAAGTTCCCTTTCTCGACTGAGTTCCGAGGGTGGGGACGGGTCGTAGTTACCTTTAAATCCTCGGCAACCAGTACGGCAACCAGTAGGGTGCCTGGCACACAAGAATTGCCCAATAAATACTTGTGAACAAGCAAAAAGGACACAGGCACTGTCTCCTCAGCATCTTCCTTTCTAAACTTTCTTTTCTCCTTCTCCAACCCTCACTATAACCAACTCTGACGTTTATCCAGGTTTCTGCCACAAGCCTTACAAATGAAGAAAATGAGTGCCTTGGGCCTCAGCCGGCCCCAGGGACTAACAGCTGTTTTCCTCAGCGGGGCCAAGGCAGTAGGCCCTGACCCTCTTCAACCCAAGAGCTGTCTTAAATACTGGGTAAATATGAGTCATCAAAAGTGGGGGTGCTGCTTCAAAAGGGTTTGGAAGCCACTAGGCTAACAGTCATTTGTATTTTTGTGAAGGAGTTCAAGAGCAACACCACAAAGGTGAGCAGACCACATAACTGATTAAAAATAAGCCTTTTGGTTCTTAAAAAAAGTTATTCTTTCCAATTTTAATGGTTTGTGGTTTTGCCAAAAGAAGGGAGAAGAAAAGCAGTTTAGACTTGACCCTTAAAGAAAACATCAGACACTCCTATTGATCAAATCTCCACTCCCTCCAATGACCTCACTGATTAAATATTTTGCAGCTCCTGATCTGTACAAGCCGTTGGTCAAACAGTCAACTTGGTAAACTAAAATTCTTAGCCCCTGGCATCACAGCCTATTTTGACAGGTCCTGGGGACAAAGAGGTGGCGAGACGAGAACACAGGCAATTCCCCAAGAGAAAGTAGCAAAGGGACACTGGCCCTGCTGAGACCAGCTCTGGCTGATTCTAGCTTGAATCCCTAACTTCCCACTTGTCCCAACCAGGATGTGCAAACACAACTCGCCTACGGGGTGTATAAGAAGCCTCAGGACCAGCTTTCTTTTCCCTGCCGCTGGAGTTCCAACTCACTCGGATGTTCCAAGCCTCGGTGCGCTCTATCCCTTTATTCCTCTGATCAGGATCCTGCACCATGTGTACGATACAATCAAAACCCTTGCTTGGCATTCAAGGCTCTTTGAAATCTGTTCCCACCTCCCCACGTAGCCTTCTTCCTACCTTCCACTTTAAGGCTGGCTGTTCTGCAGACCAACTGCAATCTCTCCTCATAACAAAACAGACTTCGGCTCAAGGCTGTCAGCGTTGTGATGCTCTATCCTTCCCCCCACTTCACCCCGCCTGACACTGTTCAGAGTGCACCATCAAAGCCAGCCAGGAAGCCTGCTGTTGGTCCCAGCGTTGCTACCCTATCTGTAACACAGTTACTGTGCAAACCACACAAATTCACGCTTGATTACATACCATCTTGTATCGTTTCTTTTAAAAACATCTTTATTGAGATATATTCACATACCATAAAATTCACCCATTTAGAGCATTTAAGTTCAACGGCGTTTTTTTTTTTTTAGTATAAAGTCACAGAGTTATGCAACCATCACCACAATCTTACTGTAGAACATTTTTTATCACCCCCAAAAGAAACCCCACACCGTCACACGCCATCCCCTACCCTTCCCTCAGTCTAGGCATCCACTGTTGCTTTGTCTCTAGAGATTTGCCTGCACTGGATATTTTATATCAATGGAATCATACATTAGATGATTTTTTGAGAGCGCCTTCTTTCATTTAGTATGATGCTTTCAAGGTTCTTCCATGCGGCCGCAATCTCACTACTGCATTCCTTTTGATGGCCAAGTAATATTCCACTGTATGCATGTACCACATTTTATGAATCCGTTTATCGGATGATGGACACCTGGTTCTATTGTCTCCGAAACAGTCCCAAGTGCCCATGTCTTCCTCTCCTAAGAAACAGCAAGCAACTCAGAGCAGAACTGCCTGTTGTAAATTTTCCACAGTGCCTAAGAATGTCAGAAACGGAAAACACCCAATAGGTCTTGAACTAAATTTAGCATCTGGGAAAGGCTAATTTTTAGAGGAACCAAAAATCAGCCCACGGCTCTTGGGTTATAGTGGATTTTTTTCATGGCTAATAGCGCTCTTGGATGTGTGTCAATGTCTCTATTTACAAAGCAGGGATAATGCCACTTTCTTCTAGGAGGTGATGGAAAGGTAACCAAGCACTCGCTGGTTTCCTGGGCCCTGCCTGTCTGCATCGCTGCCCTGAATAGCAGTCCTGACCTGGGGGAGTCCTATGTACAGTGGCTGACGCAAGGGCATCCCTGCTCACCGGCAGCCTCTAACAATTCAGTCCCTACCCTCCATTCTTCTTTTGGTCTTTCTAGCGTCCCCCATTTATGTCCCCACTGGGAAAGGCCCTTGTATCTGTGGCTCCAGTTCCTCTGAGCTGGCCTTTCCCTGGTCAAGACCAATGGGCCAGGGTTATACTTATTGTTGGGTGTCAGGTGGCAAGAAAGGAGCAGACACCTTTATTGGGCTGGCCGTGGAAGATGAAGAAAAGAAAGCCAGTTCACTGCTTGGCCACTTGAAGCCAGGGTTCTTCCAATCTTGGAGAACCTGATTAATTGGAATGGGGATGCTGTGAGGAAAGCGGCAAACCATAACACTTGCTTTGTGCGTCTTTCCTGAGAGATGAGGTGGGACACGGAGGCTGGAGGACATGTTGTATCTGGATTCTGTGATGACCTCGCCTGAGGCTGGAAGTGTTCGGCCGTGAGTCAGATTACAACGTTCGCTCTTACAGGCTCCAGGTGCAATGTGTTCAAAGTGCATTGTGGAAAAAGGTGCATTGTGTTCTGATGCTCACAGCACAGGGTCACTGTTCTCACCACTGGGAGTGGGAAGGTTAGGGTTAGGGTTAGGGCTGGACTTGAATATCCCTAGAAGATTAAGGCTGCCAACACCTTGGCCAACTCCCCAGAAAACAGGAGTGAGCAAAGGCTCCTGCTTAGCTGCGTGAATCTGAGACTGAGGAGGCCTCTGGACCCGAGGCAGGTTCCTGGGACGGGGCAGGTGGCAGGTGCACGTGGAAGGCTGTGTAGGCTGGATCCAGGACCCCCTTTAGTGAGAGTGAAAGGGATTTATATACCAATCACCAATCCCATCTTGTTTCTCTAACAGAGCCTCTCTATCCCCCAGGGAAAACCAGGAGCAGATCAGGGAACCACACTTTTTAGTAATCCTCAGGGAAGCAGCTAGAAAAAGGGGGGGGGGGCGAAGGGGCGGAGTTTCCCAGGGTGCTCTCAAGTCCAGGAACAAGATGAATGTTAATGGAGCCTTACTGAATCCCTCTTCCCTTCCTATATTCCTCCAAAATACCAGGGCTTTGTAATCCCCAACAAGCCAAAAGGAGGTAGCATTTTGCTTATGGCACAACCGGCCAGAAGTCTGCCACTGTCCTCTAGCAGGCAGTTCTGCCCTGGGTACATCGGATCAGAGCCAAGTGCTGGATTCTAAATGCCCCAGTCTTCTGCCAGCCGTGGGCACTGTGCAGGGCGGGGGATTGGAGCCTGTGAGGAGGCCCAAATCCATACGAACCTTGTCATTCTGAGAAGGTGAGACCCCAGGTCCCAAAAATCCAAGGAGAAGACAGGGAGCTTTCTTCAAAAGAGCTACCATTGGGTGAGTCTGTGTGCCCTGGTTACTGTGCAAGGAGAAGAAACAGATTAAACAAAGGCGCAGCAGACCCACGCCGTGCTCTAACCAGGGGGATCAGCTTTACACGCTTTACATAACAGCTTGACACGGCTGAAGCACTTTGTGGTGCAACAGGAGACAACTGGAGAAGAGCAGGAGAACCCAGATCCAGCAATCCAACACGGGCTCTGAGTGTTCAGAACTTAAAAGAAAAAAGTATTGGTGGTCAGGGTAGACAGCAGAGGTTGGACATAATGGTAGGGAAAGGGGAGGAAGCAATTAAGAATTTAGATGGGGAGTGATAACTCTGGGGGAGCAGAAAAGGATGGGGGTGCTTTCAAACAGGGCTATGCCTGGGGATGAGGGAGCATGGGAGGTGAAGCTAGAGGATGTCCTGCTTGGACTAAAGGTTCACAGCAGAAAGAGCAAAAAATAATGGTTTCAGCCCATGGGGTGGGGGGCCAGAGATAACAGAAGCACTAAAGAAGTCCCAAGGGACACATTTCTCTGCAGACTGTGAATGCAGACCTTTCCTGCCACATGGGCAAATACACCTGAAAAGGTACTTTGAAATGCCAGTTCACCAGCCTCGGTCCCATTAACAGCCAATCTGGTTTGGCAGTTACTGTCCCCAAGCCCCACAAACTTAACACGAACCCGGTGAGGAGTCACAACATATTTGCACAGCACTTTGCAATTTACTATGTGTTTTCCCCCCCATATTATCTTGGGACCCTAAACAATGCTGAAAATGGTAATGCTAATACTGGACGATATTTACAGCATGCTTACTACATCCTGTACACTGTGAAAGCTTCTAACACAGACTATTGTTCAATCCCTTAGGAGGTAGATATTAACTATCATTATCCCTACCTACGGACGTGGAAGCTTCCTATGTGTCAGGTAGAGGTCTCATTTAGTCTACACAACCCTGAGAAGTAGGTACTATTATTATCCTCATTTTACAGGGGGAACCCTGAGGCACAAAGAGGTCCAGTATTTGTCCAAGATGGCCTGGTCAGTTAGTGGCCGGGCTGAGATTCAAACCCAGGTGGCCTGGCTCTTCAGAGTCCACACCCACCCAGAGCCCAGGTCTACTGCTTTGAAAACAAGCCTATTCCTTCACTTTGCCTTTGCAATCCTTGACTTCCAAAAAGTGACTGAGACCCTTTCTGTTCAGCCCCCTGATGCTGTCTAACCGCACCCATGTCCCCCACCTCCATGCATGAGGTTCTCAAGTTGGTCGCTTTGCCCTTCTCTTTCTCCCATTCCCTCAGCCTCACCACCTCTACCTTATCCTTTAGGGCTTTTTAACTTATGAATGTACTTTCCTGTCCTTGCTCATCTACCCTTTGAAGCTGAGCAGGTGCGACTGTGCACATTTGGCAGGTAAGGAAACGGGGCGGGGGGCGACACGAGGATAGTGACAGGCTCGGGACTAAGAATAATGCCCTGTTTTGGTATGGCACTTGATACTTCAAAAGGCATGTTTAGGGCACCTGGGTAGCTCAGTCGGTTAAGTGGCTGCCTTCGGCTCAGATCATGGTCTCCAGGGTCCTGGGATCCAGTCCTGCATCGGGCTCCCTGCTCAGCAGGGAGTCTGCTTCTCTCTCCCTTTCTCTCCCTCTGCCCCTCCCTACTGCTCATTCTCTCTCTAATAAATAAATAAAGGCTTAAAAAAAAAAAGGCATGTTTATTCATGTTCATTCCCATTTAAGTACAAAAACACGGAGACTGAGGGATTTCTCTCCAAGTCACAGAACAGGGGTCAGCTCTGGCTCTGGACGCTGCGTCTGCCAGGGCCTGGGCCCCTCCAGTGTCTCACTTTTCACCCAGCGCTGGGGAGAGGGACAGGTGACCCGCTCGAGGTACTTCATGTGGCCCTGGCCACAGGTAGACAGCACTGTCCTCCCCTCCCCGTGTCCTTGGCTCAATTCTGGATCAGTCACCGGACACCTTCTCTCAATGCTGAGACCCTCACCTTTGAATAGAGTTTCCAGCTGAGCTGATGACCTCTGATGACCCTGCCTGACTGGCTGAGAAGATTAAGAACATCAGGCAAAGGGCTCCCCAACCCTTTCCTTGGGTCAGCTGTCCTGCTCACACATCTGAATGCCGCAGGGCTCAAACCCTGACCTCTCTGCATGGGCACCCTGCATTCCATGCCCTCACGCTCCTGAGGACCTCGGTGTATTTCTTCCTCCTCCAGAATCTGGAGCCCCTCAACCACACCCCCTAACCTCAGCTGTCCAATCTCTCAGCCTCTTCGGCCAAGCCGATGACCACCCTGCCCCTCTTATTTTGCTTTCTCCTTAAGTGCCTTTTTCCTCTGCTCTCTCCATCACTCCTACGGACATGAAAACTCACTCCCCAAACTGCAGTCTTAATGTGCCTTCCCAAGACATACAGATTCT